AAAAAAAAAAAAAAAAAAAAAATTTGAGGGAGGAGAAAAAAAAAAAAAAAAAAAAAATATATATATATATATATATATATATATATATATATGTATATATTTGCAGCAAAATTGAGACAAAAAGGCATCAGTTATGTCAAACATTTTCCAAAGTCTGCCAGTGAACCTTGATTCACTTGTGCAACTTTACGATCTAATGTTTACAAATTGTTTGTAGAGGTAATCCGAAAAGGACACCAGATGGTTGTTGAACCGACCTGACAATTTTGTGGTTCTCATCAACAATAACTTGGATTTTTTTTTTTTTAAATAATCAGGATATCTGAATAAAGCAAGAAAATGTGCATGCTAAATCAAAAACTGCACATCCTGCTCAATAACACCCTCCTTTCAATTCGAATTGTTCAAAAGGGGTATTTAATCAGTGCAGGAGCTTTTAATTTTGACTTATACAGGAAAGGGAAACATCAGATTCCAGTGAAGTGTTGCATGCGTTGCGTTGACATAGTAGGTGGCTATTTTATTAACTCATAAAACAAATATACCCTACCAAAATATTACAAATTAAAAGTAAAACAAGGTTCAAGAAGGCAGAATATGTTTGCATGTTTGACATTGACATCAGCAGTTCCACACATGCAGCATCTCATGCATGATCGAGAAGGTCCACTTTAGTAATCTTTGCTAAATCCGCATTCAAATCATTACCATTTAATTTACCAAACTATTGTGCAAAATCAGAGGGAAGGGTCAAACCTTTACCCAATTGCAGACTTCAAAAAATGCTTTAGATCATCATGTGATTAACTCCTCTGTGGCCTCAACACATGCAGTTTGCGGTTTGTTGCTTTTTATTTTTTGCATTGATTATTTGTCGTTTCCCATTCCCACAGATTTAAGCCTCTAGTAATTGGTTTGTGAGAACCGTCCAGGAAGTGATTTGTGTATGGAAAGCTAAGTAAGAGGTTCAACATTAAAGACAAACACAAACTAGACAGAAAATGGCTTTTCTTATCTTGCAAGAAAGATCAAATACAATCATTTATACAGAACAAAGAATAAGTGTGTATCTCAGCTTTTGTTCTAGTAGCTCCCTCTTACAATATTTGGTGTTTTGTGATCTTTACACCTTCAGCTTGCCAAATGATCTTTAAAAATATTTTTTTTCATGTTTTCTTTCTTCTTTTTAACAAAAAATGGATGCATGTGGCGTTTGTGCTGGACAAATCTTGATTACATTCTTTGGTTTAAGTTGAGGTCCAGATTGACTAATAGAAAGAAGAAAGTTAAAGAGTCGCTTTGAAACGAAAGAAAACTCAATTGTTCACGTGAAGAGCCAGATAGGTTGACTTACATCATTTACATTCTTATTCTACTCAGAAGAAAAATAAACATTTATGGGGGGGTTTCCAGCACTTCCAACAGAAGCATCTTTTGTCAAAATTAACATCGTGCTTTGAGTCATGATACTCAGTGAAGGAGCCAGGAAAGCTGCATTTTCTCCTGAAAGATTGTTTACAGTGCTTAGCATATGTATTCATACCCCTTGAACTCTTTCACAGTTTGCCTTGCAACAACCACAAAAGCCAATGTACTTTTTCAGCAATTTATGTGATTGAGTTATGAACATGGGGTTGGCAGAATCGCAGTGAGGAGATTTTCTTTTCTCATCAGGAACATAGAAGCTGGTCAGAGTAAGACTAAAATGCCGCGGCATGACCTTTAACAAGTTAATGCTCAAAAACCCTCCACTTAAACCCAACACCAAGACAAAATGGAAAACTAGAACAAATCTGCAAGGGAGTAGATACTATTTTACAGCAACTCAGAGAGGAAGATGGACAGAGCAAAATACAGGACAATCCTGGAGGAACACACGTTAAAGGCTTCAAAAAACTAATTTGGAACAAAAAATATATATAACTATGTAGTATTTTACACCTTGTGTTGGTGTGTTGAATAAAAACCCAAACGTTGGGATTTTAAAGAAGCAAACTGTGAAAAAGTTCAAGGAGTATCAATAATTTAGCAAAGTGCTGCATATATAGTTTTCGTATTTTGTGTAGCATGAACATGGCCACTTGCGTTCACACTCGTACGTTCTTTCTTCCTACTGGCTGCAGACATTTAGGTGCCACATAAAAGTGTGTAGTAACGTGATCTATATGCAAATGGGCATAATCGTGTCACACAAAACAGAAAACACTGTTTGTACATGTATAAAGTGTCAAATTCAGAGCATGATGTGCATGGTGCCCTATATAAATATGTTTAAAAAGTGGCGCTGGCCACAGTATGTGTACATACAGTTTGCAGTTTGTGTTTTGTTTTTCAGTCAGTGTGCTTACACCAGCTGTAAGTGTGAGGATTGACCGAGGAACTCCGAGTTTCCCTTTGAGTGAGGAACATCCTCCTCCTCAGTCTGTAAAATGTCCGACTGGCTGCTGTCCGGTCCCTGGGACAGGAAGTCATAGTCGTCAGCTGCCGGCTTCAGCTTGCACTCACTAATGAAGAGGTCTGTCCCATCCCAGTTGCTGAGGTCACTGTGGCCGTTGCCGCGCTCGCTGTCGTTGCTGCTACTGCTGCTGTTGTTGAGGGCGGCGGAAAGGCCAGGGGCACGATTGGTTAAAGGCTGGTTGATATTATGCACAGAGAGGGATTTCCCTAGACTGCCTGCCCAGTCTGTAGGCCTCCTCTCTGGGTTAGATGAGAGCAGCAGCAATGGGTTAACCTCCAGGCTCAAATGCCTCCTGCAGACCCCTCTGGATTTCAAGCCGGACTTCTTCCGCAGCTGCACCCTTCCGGGTGCGAACCCTGCCTCGCCGCCCCCGTCAGCACTACCATCAGCACTGCATCCTACAATGACAGAAGGGCCCACACTCTGGTCATCGACTCCTACTTCATCTGTCACATCATCCGAGACTGGGTCAGCGGGGCATCGGAGGTGTGAGGGGTGAGCCATGGGAGGAAGCTGGAGAGTAAAGCTCCCAGTCGACGATGGCGGAGGCGGCAGATCAGGAAAGTGGGATTTTTTGGAATTGGTAGCAAGGGTTGGGTAAGGGCTGTCTGGGGGTAGCAGAGGTGAAGGGGAGAGTGAGGCAGTGGAAGGGGGGTAGGACGGAGGCGCTGAATCTGGAGGACAATCGTCATCGGCCGGTGCCAGAATGAGCCGCAGGCCTCTTGGGTTGGCACCATGAGAACGGTGTATCCCACCGCCGCCACCGTTGTCTCCTCGCCCTCTAACTGCATCCCCCCTCTGGGGGGAGGATGGGTAGTCCAAGTTGTGGTGCTGGTGATTTTCCAGCTCAAAAAGGGGCAAAGAGGAGAGGGAGAGCCCTGAAGGACCCTTCTGGAGAACTTGGCGGTAAACATCAAGCAACGAATCCAACTTTGTTTCAATAGAGGACACCTTGGTGTGAGAGAGAACAATGGTTATTATGGAGAAAACTTGAAAGCAAGTAAAGAATGTAAAGCATTCCATTAAAAAAAAAAGAAAAAAAAAATCTGCCCGTCATAACAAAACTAATCTCAGTACTTGGACAAGTTCTTCCTGAATAACAGGTATAAGATTACTGTAAATGAGATCCAAGACAAGCAGGTAAATCCGTTTATTGCACAAATTTAGTAAAAAACATTCTTGATCAGAGATCTTAAGGCGGGGCAAGAAATGAGAAATATTCACATTAAAACCAGTTTGTTGGTGGAGCATTTTCCATATCTGGCATTCACACTCTATAGTAGGATTGTGGTACTGCACAAGCAAGCTCCCTTGCAGTGATCCATTGCAGGCCTTGTAAATTAAAAAATAAAATAAAAATTCTAAAGGGGATTTGCACAAAAAAGTCAAGTGATAGCCCCATAAAAAAAAATCACCTATCCTGAGCTGGTGGTTTAGATGGGGAGTCCATGAAGACCTAAGCAACTCCTCACCCCAAATAAAGACTCTTACTTCAAGTATGTATCATTTGAAGGAGGGTTTTCATCTCTAAAGGTGACGTCTGCATAGGTCTTTCAACAGGACAATACCGCCGTCTAACAAAGGACTTCTTGCAGGTAAAAAAAATTACCTCTTTTCAACCATCATGCATGTTCTTTTGATCAAATTCAAAATAATTAGGAATGGTGGGGCAGGTTTAGGAAAAAATAGTCAATTCCAGATCATGGAGGCCCTTCATGAAGCTATCGTCACCACATGGAGCAGCTTCACATGCCTACTAAGCATTTAGATCAAGCATATAAACAAATTGAAATAATGTATAAGAACGTAGTGGAAACTCCTACTAAGATTCCTCCGTTAACACTGTTAGCAGTACAGGCTGTTTGCGATTTACTGTATTTTCAATAAACTGGGGGCTCAATTATGTGTCTTGATCCCGTTTCCTCTTAAGATTTCGACCGGTAGAGTTTATCGAGGACTGTGTGTGAGAAATATTGTCTTTGTAAAGCCACACCTGTCTTTCTACTTTACACACTCGTCCCAACATGCTCATGCCCTCCATAGAGTCTCCATCGTGGTGCAATTTGTCCCTTGGTTTCTTATCCACCGGAATCTGGCCTTTCCCAAGAATCTGATCCACCCTAAAACACACACACACACACACACACACACACTGAAGGGTGATGATGCTGTAATGCAAGAAAGCCACTGTGTCTCAGTTTAGTTAATCTATAATTGATCATAAGCTAAATCAGGATGTGAAGATTAAAGCAAATGTCAAACATGACTTAAGTATATTTGACAGAACTTTGTGCTGTATTGTGACAAAATGAAAAATGTTCAAGGGGTGTCAATGGTTTTGATGCATTGACATCCTGCAAGCACAAGAACATAACTGTGTATCATTTAAAAATCACTGTCTGATGTGACATTTCAGGTTTAGCAAAGTAAAAACAGAAGAAGAAAACCATAATTTTTAGCTAATTTTTACCATGTTTTCAAAACCACAATTGCATCCCAACTCCAAGAAAACAAAGTCACGTCCTTGCATGCACAAGAGGCCTCAACGTTGTAGTCAATTAATTAGTCAGGTTAATGTGCACGCTGATTTGTTAAAACTCCTCAACACACACTGTAAATCCTGCCAGGTTAGCAGTTTCCACACTCAAAGTTAAACCCTGAGGAAAAAACTATGTGTGAGGGAACATAAGATGAGATCTAATTTGTAGAATTAACTTTTGAACTGAATCAAGTTTTTTATTCTTCTTTCACATCAACCTCAGCTGGAATTCTGGACTAAGGTAACTGAGTTACACAGACTTTTTCTAACCCATTGAGATCAGGTTTCTATGATGCACTGCAAAAACACAAAATCTTATCAAGTGTTTTTGTCTGGTTTCTAGTGCAAATATCTTAGTACACTTGAAATAAGACAAAACTAGCTGACATAACATTTCAGCAAGATATAGGAACTCGTTTTGAGTCAACAATTTCTTAATATTGACGAAAAAGTACTAGTTCCACTGGCAGATTAATTCACTTCCAACTCGGGGAAACTGCCTTGTTATAAGTGAAATAATCTTTCATCAAAATTAAGAAATGATTCACTTAAAAATGTTACTAGTATGTCAGTTTTGTCTTAATTCAAGTGTATTAATGTTGTGGAAAAAAATTACTACCAAGCACTGTTCAGGTGAAATCACTCAATCAGGTTTATTTATGAACTGTGCAAACTCAGAGAGCTCATAGGACAGTCAGTAATGTAGCAGGTCTGGATGGGAAGCTCTGCCTGGCAGAGGCAACACGTGAGTTTTATACAAAAGATAAAGGAATTCAAAACAATTGGGTGAAACAGTCTGGTTCTCATGCAGCCATGGGAAACAACTTCCAACCTTGTACATGTAACCAAAATAGTTATTTTGGTGAGAGTTCACAAGCATTTCATATAACATGATCAGTAGATGTTAACTTATAATAGTTTTCCACCACAATTAATAAGATACTTTCACTAGAAAGTTCCAAAATACTTGGCAAGATTTTGTGTTTTTGCAGTGTGGTCACTCCAAGTCACTCCAAGTTGTTCTGAAAAGGCTATGTCTGTTTTTGGGGCATGTTTAAAATCATTATTTACCTATTTGTGCCCAAACTTCAACTTCCTAATTGATTTCCTGTAATTTTAGCTTCTGAATTAATGTGATAAATTAACCCACAGGTTCCCAAGCTGGGGGGCGCCGTGCCGTTGCAGGGGGGGGGGGGGGGAACCATCTGGGTGGGTGAAAAAA